CTGCACTTCAGGACGGCCGAACATGCTGAGCATGTTCGGCCGACCCGAAGCCACCCGATGTACGGCTGATTTCAGCCGATATAGGGCTGAAATCAGCCGTACCAGCCTGACATGAATATCCGAACAGCATTCGGCTCACTTCACTTCACGTCGGTCTTTCATTCCGCTGCCTATGGCTGCTTAGTGAATAGACCCCTAATAAATCTCAGGAACCAGAGGGCATACATCCATGAGTCCTCAAAGAAATGAAGCTGGTTATTGCCAGACCATTGTTTTTAATCTTAAAGGACACATTGGGGATGGGAAAGGTACCTGAGAATTAGAGGAAAGTGAATGTGGTGCCGATAGGTAAGAAAGTTTTAAGATGGGTACCAGATAACTACAGGCCTGTCAGCCTTACATCAATAATATGCAAAGTTTATGAGAGATTGGTCAGGGATTATAATTATATTCAAAAATGTGCATGTGGAAACGGTATTGTAAGTACAATGCAGCATGGATTTATAATGGACAGTTCTTGTCACACAAATCTGTTGACATTCTATGAGGAAGAAAGTTGTAAGGTGGACAAGGGAATCCAAGTTAATTTAGTCTTTCTAGACCTTGCAAAGGCATTTGACACAGTACCCCACAAAGGGTTAATTTACAAACTAGATTTGATTGGCATTGAAGATCCTATATGTACATAGGTAGAACATTGGTTGCAGGACCACATCCAGAGGGTAAGGATAAATGGTTAATTCTCTAAATGGTCCAGAGAGGTGAGTGGAGTGCACCAGGGTTCAGTCTTAGGGCCAATTTTAGGGTTCAGTCTTAGGGCCAAAACGATATTGAGGTGGTAATAAGTAGCTCCCTGTCAGTGTTTGCTGATGATACGAAGCTATGCAGGGAAATACGTTCACAACAAGACATAGACAACCTCGATAAAATTGGAGAGTGGGCAGCAATGTGGCAGATGAGCTTTAATCTAGAAAAATGTAAGGTCATGCACTTGGGAGCTTAGAACATGCTTACTCAATACACCTTGGGTGGGGTTTTGCTGGGGAAAATGGAGAAGGATCTTGGGGTCCTTATAGACCACAGACTCATTAATAGCATGCAATGCCAAGCTTCAACTAATAAAGCTAGTAGTATATTATCTTGTAGTAAAAGAGGGATTTATTCACTGGATAGAAATATAATTTTGCCACTTTACAAAACAATGAGTACGCAATTCATTTCTGGTCCCCAATCCGTAGGCGGGATGTCCATGAGCTAGAAAAAGTTCAGAGACAGGCAACCAAATTCATGAGGGGCATGGAGGGCCTAGGTTATCGAGTATGCCTACAAAAATTAGAATTGTCCTCCTTAGAAAAGGGACGCTTAAGAGGTGACATGATCACAAAACTCACCAATAGGGGCAGAAGTTTTGAGAATGCACTACTTAAAACAAGTACCTCAAGGAAGACATGAGGGCACAACAAGAAATTTGTGGAGATTAGGAATAATCTGCGTATGGGGTATTTTACACTGAGAGTGGTACAAATATGGAATTCACGGCCACGAAAGTTGTATCAGTGGGAAACAAACTGCTTTCAAAAAACACTTGGATAGAGTTCCTCAGTTCACAAAACATACAGGGTTATGGAAATTCGCTATATATATTATACACACACACGCTATATAGATTAAACCGGATTGAGCTGCGTCTTTATTCAACCTACTATATGACTATGTAAAAATTAGGCTTTTACCATAAAACAGTGAGTGACGAATAGCTGTAATGTGCATATAAGGGTTTATTTAACTCTCCACAAGCTTTATAAGGAACATCCTTGATGGCAAGTGCCCCAGCTGCTGGGCCTTGAATCCATTATGCATAGGTAACCTTTGTACATTTATCTCTGCTTTAATTATGAGAACAATGTTTGCTAGCCAGAACTAAGCAAAATGAAAATTAGAATTTTTAAACTCATTAAACAGAAACCTAATGTGCAGACTGACATAAGGTGAAGGCAAATATTCTGTAGCTGCACAGCAGGTTAATGGACGCACATGTCATCCTTGTGACAAGTATCTTCTGAGATTATGGCAAAACAAAAATCTGACAAATATGTTTACTCAATGATATGACACAAAATCGCAAGGTGACATGTGATCCAAGCAGATGTTCTATAAACTGAATGTCATTGATGTCATTCTCAATGCTCTTGCTGATATTAAGATGTGCAAAAAAAGTGGTTTCAGTTTGATTTGGGAAAATATGTTTAATTTGTGGATGTTAAAAACTCAGCAGAAAAAAATATATAATTCTGATGTATTCACAAGGAGAGGAAAGAAAATGGTGATCTAACAAAACAGCATACTAGCCTCCAGCTGTTTAACTAGATCCACCCATAATGCTCAGCCTAGCCCATTTTATCAGTATCTGGGAAGGAAGCAGAATTTAAAGATGTAATTCTTTAGATATAGAAATCATATATTTAATGGAACATTATTCTACTCCATGTCCATGGTTTTCATATTTAGTGGAAGTTGACAAACCCAAATAATAAAATGTCAACAAAAATTAAAAAAATCTTCCAATACCATTATATGTGCATTTATTGTATTTTATGATTATGTTATTTGTCTGTAAAAAGCATCCTTTAAACATCCATAGCCCTGAGACAGCTACTGGGTGCTAACATCTTGTACGTGGTGTCAACAGCCCCAGCAGAATGAGAGCTGTCACTCAAGTGACACTTTCTAGTATTCCCCTATGCTCCTCCCCGACAGCTACATAAAAGGTTATGTAGGGAGGTGATGTAGGGATGGAGGTGCTAGGCCAGCACAGAGATAAGTAGACACTCCCAGAACAGGAAAGGGCTGTGACATGCAAGGAAGCAAGGTGCTAGGCTAGGGAATGGAGTCTTGCTGAAGTAGTGACATTTTCTATCAAGTTCAAAGTCTCTTTACAAGGGAATAAAACATATTTAAGGAAAGTAAAATCATTGTGCTTTTACCAGTAAATGTTTAAGTTGGTGGCATTATCTCTTTAAGCTTTGCTCAGCAGAAATAAATACAAATAAAACACATTTTACAATGTATAGCCACCCAACTTAGGTCTCCCAATGCAGCTATTCTCACTGCATACATTTTTCTTTCCACATACAGCCAACCTACAGCTTTTAATAACATCTTACCTGTTCACAGACCAAAGACTTGCTGGGTAATGGAGCGTTTCTCCTACAATACTTGTTTGCATATTATTGGCTACCAATACTACCAGTCACTGTAAAAACAATGGTCTGAAGCTCTTTTTTTAAATCTATGGAACTGACAAGAGTAGCGTGGGAGTGAAAGCATCCATTTTTGTCATTCTGTTTCTTTGTAGGAGGCCAATCTATTAAAAACAGCAAATCTATCTTAGCAGAGTTAATTGTGTATTTTTTTCTCCTATTCTAAACATGGGAATTGGTGAGAGAAAATACAAGAGGAAGAGTCTAAATTAGAAACTATTAATTATCTAAAAATAACAATAGCATAGATTTTACTTACTACTTGCTCATGAAGCACAGCTGAGTTGAAACGGCAATCAAAAATTCATCCAAACATGAATCCAGATTTTGATTTTCCTTAATATTAGGTTGCGCAGAAAACGGCAGACATCTGTTGATGAGAAAAAAAACAGCAATCAACACAGAATTTACATGGCAAGTGTGCTCAAACAGGAAAGGGATGGGAAACAATAATGCAAGTAATGTGTTTGGGAGAAATGATCTGAGCACAGCTCACCCTAAAAAACAATGGGACTAACTTGGAAACAATTTAAGAATATTGGGAGAAGAAGCAATAAACTGTGGCTGTGTGTGTAATTATTGAGAAAGGAATGGCATGCTGAATAGCTACTCAACATGCAAAGTGTTTTGTGAAATCTCAAATAGAGGTAATCAGTAACAATAATTAAACTTGACGTTAAGCATTCATTTGTTGATTTTATCATCTATCATGCAGTGCCCCCCCCCCCCCAAAGATTTAAGAGAGCTCACACTTGTCTGTTTCAAATGTTCTAAGACTTTAATGAGCCAGTGCATATAAACTTTGTATTTTTTACTCTTGGCAAACTGCCCAAATAGTGCTTACAACCTGTATCTTAATTTCAGAATATAAGAGAAACATCCATCCTATTAAGTTAACAAAGTATCAAAAATTGCTTGCAATTAAATGACCAAAAAAAATCTACTGGAGGCATGAAAATAACTGGGTGCCTTGTTTAAAATTATTGTGACAATCAGAATAACCTGAAACCTGCTACAACAAATTAAAATTAAATCAACATTGGTATAATAAAATGACAAACAGCAAAATAAAGTAACATAATTATGTAAAACAATGAAATAGCTATGACATTTACTCTCTAACTATGACCAGGGATAATGCTTATGACTCTTCATGGTCATTAAACTTATCATCATGGCTTTAATTAAAGATTTTGTAATTGTTTTCCAAAGCAAATAAAGACACATCTAGCAAATTAGAGGGTTTTAAACAGTGAAATAAACAATAGACTTAAATTTGTCATGTTTGTTCTTAAATAGCCATCTGTGCTCTATTGACCATTGCCGCAAACTCATTTCAGGGCAATTTCATAGAAGCAGTTTTACATCCATTGTTCAGGATATAAATCGAGACTGACACTCCCACTTGGCAAAAATACAGCATAACAGACTAGTAAAGGAGAACCTGTGAAAAGAACTTCCACTGTTGCTTTACTTTCAAATGTGTGACTTCTGTACTCCTGATCTTATCTTCCCTACCTAGAGAATCAATGGCCTGGAACAAGTATGCATGAAAACAAGATTGGAATGACAGACCTAAAGCTTGAACATTTAAAACAATAACAGCTTTTGTATTTCACATTATTCTACTTATGTGAGTAAATTGTTAGACGTCCGCTGTTATTAGTGACAGTTTGTAGTGATGGTAATAACCAATGATTTGTCTTGCTGGATCTGGCTCAATACACCTTATCGGCAGCACATATCAGGTACTGCTCCACAAGCACTCTAAAAGCATGCATAGTCTGGAATCAGGTATACTCTACATGTGGTATGTTATCTCTCAGAATTTCTTAAAACAATGATTCAACCAGGATTCTATATTCACTCTGACCGACAGATAAATGAAACATGGTTTTATAAAATATAAAACCATGTGAAGCATGGTTTTATAAAATATGACAAAAATAATATGTGAAGACATTCAAAATTATTTTTAGATACATATTTTAATGACCAAAAAGCAAATTGTGCTAACTTCAAATAACAGTCTTTGTAAAAAAAGCAGATAGGATTTAAAATATACACATCTTGCAGAAATATGGGGGGGTGCCATGGCTGACTTTCTTTTTGAAAATGCAATGTGCCTGGCTGCATACATTTGTTTTGCAAGTTGTGCAAAACTAATACACTTAGTAAAATAATGAAAAATGTGTAAACATTCCCATACTCCACCAATGTCTACTAAAATAATTGCCCTTTAAAAAAAAAAATCCCAAATGCAAGTATAGCATGCTTCAAATCTTTAGTTCAAGGTAAATACCACCAAACAATCTCTGTAAAAAATGTTTTTTTTTTAAAAAACCATAAAGAGACCTGTGTCAAAAGTTTTAAATGCTCTCCCTCTAAAAGACAAAATCCACAGGGACTTAAATCCTAAACAGAATTTGCAACTTCAAATGCTTTCAGTGCCCAACAAAAAATGCTAAATAGTGCAGTATATTCAACACACCTAGACCCGCACTGCAAAACAAAAAGAGCAGCAACAACATTCAACATTCCAAGTAATCGTGACATCACAGGCTCTGTCCAACTCATTTTACCCAGCAGGATTTCAGTGGGGAAAGTGAGAAAGTCCAATTGGATGAAACTGCCATGGTGGAAGTCCTAAAGGATGAAAAGTGGTAGGTGGAAAATGCAGGACTGAAAGTTTTTGTAATATTGCCTCTTACTGGTAAGTGAGTTTTAGAAAAGCATTTGGTGATAGTCACTCTACACTAAATGTGGGATGTGGTGGAAATGACTTTATCCTCCACTTTTTTTTATTTATTTACTAATATAATAATGCAATAATAACAGATAATTCAAAATTGCTTCCTTTTAAGTAATGACAATGAAACGTTGACATGAACTCTCTAAATTATAAAGCCATTCATTGACATATGTAACAAATGAAAAAATATTTTACTTGAAATAAAATATGCACCATACCTTAAATCTTATCAGACTTATGAATAACAAAAGCTTTAAGATTATAACAAGCTGCAGTCATATAATTTTATAAACCGTTGTTTGTGCTTGACAATGTAATTATGTGGCTTTGAAAAGAAATACTAGTTTCCTACCAGCCAGTAATAGCCATGCACACTGATTCCATGATCAAATGACATTAATTGAAGACCTTACCTTCTAAAGCAGCTATTACATCTCCTCCTATTACTTAAAGATGAATAGGCTCTGTTGGGCACTGGAATAAAAGTAATGCTTGTACTTGTAGTCTAAACTATAATTTGAAACAATACCTATTTTGTATGTGCAGAAAATGAACATTTGAAGAACAAGGGGATTTTTAATTGAGTGAAGGGTCCATACATAAAAATCACCAGTGTTTGGTTTTCCCATAGAATGCAATTTTTGCAGTACATTGGATACCTTGCTTAAGCACATTGGTTGACTGTACTTGCGAACAGGATTGGTCTCTAAGTACATCCTAAATGCACAATAATTATCATTCAGTCTCCTAATTGTTCTGTCAACATACAATACAGTTTGCTATAAAACCTCCCTAAGTAGAGAAAAGAGTGCATTTGTGTAAATTATTATGCTATATTCTGGATAAATATAATTATAGGAGATTATTTGAAAAAATAATTGACTGTCAGATTTAAAACTTAGTCCCATTGGCCAGGAGTGCATGGCTCATAAAAAAATATATATTTTACTAGAAATTTCAGTGGAAAGGTACATTTTAGGGATCGAAAGACACAGTGCTTTGCATATATTGTATATTGACTGCTTTGAACATTTCCATATTTTACTAATAAAACCTGAAAATAAAATGACTCTAATACCATTGATTTACACAAAATAGTCAATAAAACTAAAGCATAATATATATATAGTGGTGACAGCTAGGAGGCTCCTGTGGCTGGAGCGCAAGAATTTGCCGTCCTGTAGCCTTGTTTGTAAAAAATTTGTTTCAAAAATTCATTTTAACTTTTGTTTTTGTTTTTGCTTCTAAATTGTTCCAGAATTGTTTAGTATTAAAATTTATTTTAAACAGATCTATTCCTCTTACCACATTGCATAACAGTTGTGCGCTCGCCTTTTTACCGTTTTTATCTTACAGAAAACATGACCCATACCCCCACATCAATGGGCCCCCTCAGGTATGAACCCAAAGTTCAACATTTTCCTTGTTATGCCTTACAGATCGAAGAGAGCTGCCACCCATTTAGATTGGATGGAAAGGCCTGGCTGTTGCTTTTTACTACATTAGCTGTAGGTAGGATTTTTGTAATATCATTCTTCAAAACTACATAACGTTTTCAGCCTCTCTCATTCATTTTCAAATCTTAACTGAACAAACTCAAGAGAAAAGCTGATTGGTTGCCATGCACAGCTGTTCTAGATTTTGTCTGCTCCAGTTTTGATAAATTCCCCCCAAAGTGTCTTGGGAAGGTTTTTGCAACTCTAAGAGCTTTAAAGACCCTGTGCCTGGAACAGCAGGCTCATCCTCCCAAATGCCTGATATAATGCACCGCATCCGCTTAGAAACAACACCTTGTAAATCTCATATGAAATTAGCTGAAATACAGTATCTTCAGCAGTAGAATGTAAGGATCTGAATCAGAGATGAAAATTAGGGCCTCAGGCACACTTAGAGATGGAGGCTAAGTAGAGTCATAATTAGACATGGATGGCACCGGAGCATGCTTGGAGCATATGCAACCATTAAATGTGCACTAACTGACAAAAAATCCAAGTGGATATAAGGGGTCTTGTGACCACAAAAAGGTCTCTACCTTACGTGGCAGACCTATAGAAGACTATGATGACAATATGTCAAGGTAACGTGCATGGGTGTCCCCACACCGCATGCAGGTACCCATGCAGATAGACCAAATTAGTGTGACCACACTGGATGAGGTTATGCACAAGGTTTAATTGTTACACTGCAAACAAAACTACAAACCCCATCAACCCCCACAGGTTAGCAGTGAAGTAACAATAACACGGTTGAAACAAACACACCTACAGCCAGGGGCAACAGAAAACAGGAACAAGGCTAGGGACTGCAGATAGATAGCAGGGTTCAGGATACAGGAAGAGTGGTCAGGTAACAAGCTGGGTCATTAACAGAGGGCAGCACGGTACAGGAACAGGATCCAAGAAGAGTGGTCAGGTAACAAGCCGGGTCAGTGACGTATTTGCAGATAGGTAGCAGGGTTCAGGTAGTAGGGTTACAGGACACGGGAGTCAGTAAGGGGCAGGCGACGCAATACTGAGCCAGCTTCCTGACTGCAGGGAGGGCCTAAATACCCTCCCAGGAAGCACCAGGTGATGGGATGCTCACTCACAGCTGGGGCACACCCACAGGTGTGTACTGGA